CCACAAGGAGCAAGTCACACAGGAGCAGCTGCATGGCCTGGGGGTGGGGGGCAGGGCAGGGGTCAGGGGGGCTCCGGCTCTTGGAGGGGAAGGGTGGGGGCCCGCGGTGCCAGGGGCCGGCTCCGGGCTGCACTGCCGAGGCACTGCACCCGCCTCACTCACGTGCAATGCAACAGCAATGCACCGCGGGGCCGCCCGCCTCTCCAGGCCCCCACACCTGCCGCCTGCCACAGGGGCAGCCTCCAAAGAGGGCTCTGCCAGACCACTCACCCTACCCCTCCTCCTGGGGGTGGGGAAACTGAGGGCGGGGGCGGAGGGGTGGCCACTTTCCCCTGGACCCAAGCCTCAGCCAGAAAAGCAAGGCGAGCCGGGCCTCAAGTCCTGTACTGTCAGGCTAACCCCACAGTCTTCTGCAACCCAAGGAAGAACGTCCGGGGAGTGGAAAGGCGGCGACCGCCCCCCAGACCTGCGAGGCCCCCGGCACCAACCCTCACCTTGTCAATGGAGCCGCCAGCTGGTGTGGTGGCCAGGCTGTCCTGCAGGTACCCGCTGGCCTTCTCACAGATGGCCAGGCTGGCCGGACCAGACTCTGCCTTCCTGCGGCCCAGGACGGCCCGGGCAGCCTTGAAGGAGTGCAGAGCCGCCCTGGGCAGGGGTCTCCTGTTGGGGCCAGGGCAGAGCACTGATGGTCAGACGGGGCCCAGGCCCTCACTAAGCTCCCCACTGCCCTGGTTGTGGCTTCACGGGGAAGAAAAGGCGGTGACCCCAACGGCCCGGAACAAAGGCTGGGGGGAGCAGCACTGTGCTGGGGGGGGGCCGGGAGATTCCGGCCGGGACTCACTCGGACTCCTGCAGGGCGCGGGGCAGGTGTTCCACCAGCGGGTACAGCCGCTCGGCCGCCTCCTCGTCGCGCCTCAGCCAGTGGGTCACCACGGCCGTCAGTGAGGCCCACCACTTGGCCACGGGGTCTGTGCCTGTAGGGAGCAGAGGTGTGGGTGGGGAGGCTCCCTGCAACTCAGCCACACTGTACCTGAAGCTGAGCTGGGAGTCACAGGGCAGGGGCCTGGGGGCTCACCGGTGGCGGTGGCCATGCTGGAGCTGATGGAGAAGCTGCAGGCTGGGGCCCCGGCAGCATCAGAACAGCTGTTCAGCAGCTGCAGGTACCCAAGGGCGTCTGAGAATTCCCTGCATCAGAAGAGAGGACTGGCAGTCAGCGCAGGTGGCAGGGGGCCTGGGCAGGCCCCAGCCCTCCTCACCTCCCACCCGAGCGCAGCCTGATGTGCTAGCTGTACCATGCGGCCATCTCTTCCTGCCAAGCCGGGGCGGAAGCGGACCCAGGGAGGAACTGAGATGCGCCTGGGGCCACCCAGCGGGTGGACAGCAGCCCGGCTCTGGCCACCCACACAGGGCCCTGGACGTAGCCACTCCCAGACTTCACCGTGGAGGGCGCCTGCCTGCAGGGGAGCGTAGGGCCCCTCACCTGTCCCCATCAGCTGATCCAGGGCTGGGACTGGGTTGAGCCATACAATTCAGTGCTCGCTCCAAGAGGTGTTCGCGGAAGAGCTGAGTCACCTGGGCCAAGGGGTCCACTGCAGGGAGGAGTGGGTGAGCGGGGTGGGAGGAAGGGCCCCCACATCCACTTCTCCCCACCAAGTGCTCTTTCCTGGTCATGCAGGTGGGACAGATAAATGCTCCCACCCGTCCTTGGATAGGATGACCCACCTTGGCCAGTGTAGTCTACTTAATAACGTGCCTCTGTCAGCCTGTCCCCTTCCATCTGATCTCCTTACTGCACAATGAATGGTCTTGCTTGGGATCACCTCCCAAATCAACCACCTGCCCCCAAATCTCTGTCTCCCTTTTTGCTTCTGAGGAGCCCCCACTGAGACAGAGCCAGTCTTCCCGTTCCTGCAGCCTCCACAGCAATGACAGACGGGGGGCGTCATGGGCACGGGGGACAAAGGAAGAGGTGGGAGGACAGGGGATGGGCACAGGAGTGAGAGAGCACCTGGGTTGCCGGCCAAGCTGTACAGACTCTCCCTCGGGGCACTGCACACGGCCCAGTCCCCATCCACGAAGAAACGGTGGCCCACAGGGTGGCACAGCCACTGCATGGCAAGAGGCACCGAGCCACTCTGGGCCAGGCAGGCCTGGCGGGCACTACTCAGGAAGAAGCGCTGTAGGGGAGGGGAGCTGGGCTGTCACACTGGACCCAGACAGGGACTCAAAACCAGACCTTGGCCCGAGACCCGAGCTAGGCCCGGGAGCCCACCCGTGACCAACTGCCTCCTCCAGTGCAGCCCCTGGTCAGAGCTGCAGGGACACGCCCCCAGCCCTGTCCCCACCAGCCCGCCACCCACTCACTGTCAGAAAATGCAAGGCCCTCGGGAGACTGGTCTTGACCCTCAGCGCGACGGCCACATAGATCTCAGCCAGTGTGGCCAGGGATACGGCATCCCCCGCGCATTCCGCCAGGTTCAGGGCACTCAGTGCCAGGTTGACGGCAGCCAGGTGCCCGCCCGTGTACTTCCCTGAAAAATGGGCAGGACGTGAGGCCGGGGTGTGGGGCAGGGGCGGCAGGAGCCCCTCAGGCCCGGCTCCCCACCCTTCATACCCATGGTGTGCAGCTGGTGCAGCTTGTGGTAGGCGAGCGCTGCGTCTCGGGCGCTGGTGCGGGCATCCGCCTGCAGGGCGCAGTCCCTCTGAAGGCCCCCTGCCCGGCCTGCCAGCCAACGGCCCACCCACAGCCGTTGCAGCAGGTGGCGGATGAGGTTCCAGAGCAGGCTACAGGCCAGGTCCAGGTGGGAGGTGGGCAGTGGCCGGCCCAGCGCCCGCAGGGCCAGCCACAGCTGCTGGGCGGCCTGGGCAAAGTCCCCCTGGGGATGAGGGTTTGCCAGGTAAGGAAAGGGGTGTCAGGGAATCTGAGCACGCGATACCCCTCCTGCTCTGAAGATCCTTCCACCTTGGGCTGTGCACCATGACCCTAGTGTCCCCCACTCAATGGGAGTCTGAAGGCTAGACAGGAGTGGGGAAGACAGGGCCCGATTCACCATGACAGGGAAGGGACGGGGAGTGGCACCCAGCACTTTCCCGGGGGCTGCCTAAGTCCCGGCCCCGCCCAGTCCCCTCAACCCCACCTCCAGGATCTGACCCCTTACCCGGGCCAGATCCAGGTCAGCCTGCTTGCGATGCCTCCAGAAGTGCACGGCGGGGCCTGAGTGGGGCCGTGTGACCGGCTCGCCGTAGACAAAGAGGAGCGCCAAGAAGACCAGCACCAGCAACCCATTGGTCAGCCAGACCAGTGGGGGCAGCAGCCAGGGGGCCCAGCCAGGGCCATCTGGGGGTAGACAGAAGGATGGGGGACACAACTCCCCGGAAACCCAGAGCCCCAGCTCCACGGGCCTAGGGTCCCCCCGAGTATCCCTTCTCACCTCTCACCCAAAGATACCCACGCTGGCCTGTCCTACCTCTGCCCTCAGTGCCCAGCACGCTGCGCCCAGGATGGTAGTAGGTGCTGCTGGCATCCGAGGGGGTGGGGAGACCCCGGCTGGCCAGCAGGGAGGCCAAGGGGTTACAGGAGAGACAGAGGAAGACGAGTGTGCACAAGGCCAGGCGGGAACGGTCCAGCATGCCCCGGCCGTGAGGGGACAGCAGCTGCTCCGGCTTCACCTGGGGGGTGGTGGGCAGGTCAGGGAGGGCAGAGCGGGAGTGGCCCAGAGAGGATGGAACAAGGAAGAAGGGCTCAGCACTCTACCCACACTCACTGTGGGACCTCACATGACTACAGGCCTCGGTTTTTCTGTCTATAAAATGGGAGGTGGGATATGTTAGGGGCCTCTTCCTGACCTAGTCTTAGGGCTCAGATGTTATCACAGGGAGACAGACGGGGTGGGGGGGGGGGCGGGGAGGGAACGGCAGGACCCTACCTGGCTGTCCTCAAAGACTGGGCTGTCGGGCTCTGAGTCACTGCCACTGCCACCACTGCCACTACTCCTGCCGCCAAGGGACAAGGGGCTGCTCTGAGAGGGCGAGCCGGCGTCGGAGGGTGGCGGGCTCAGCGTGTCCACAACCTCGGGCTTCATGCCCTCCATGGGCACGTCTGTGTTTCCTCCACTGCCACAGGCTGATACCAGGTCCTTCAGAGATTCTGTGGGCCAGAAAGGAGCAGGGCTGGGGGTGAAGGCTAGGATACCCACTCCAAGTCAGCGTAGGGCCCTGTGGAGAGGGGAACTAGGAGGTTGCCCAGCTCTTGAAGGTCCAGTTGGGGCCAAAAGAGGGGCTAAGGGCCCTTATAGGGTTAGAGCTTAAGGGGCAGGCAGGGGCGGGGGAGGTGGGCAGAGCCAAGGGAAGGGTGAGGCCAGGACTCACTGCTTTTGTGGGCAGCCGTGCGGAGACTCAGGTTCTCCTGCTTGAGCTTCTGGTTGCTCTGTTGCAGGAAGCGGATATAATCGATGGCCTTGCGCAAGACAGCAGACTTATTCAGCTGCAGGTGGTAGGAGAGACACAGCACAGGGAGCCGGTCAGGCCTGGCAAGTAGGCACCTAAGCGAGGTGGGTGACGCTGCTTTACAACACCGCTGCCTCAGGCCCTTTGCATTTGCTATGTCTTCTACACGGAATGCTCTTCCCCCAGGAGAACCTAACTCCCCGGATGGGCATCAAGATTAATACGTAAAATGCATACAACGGTGTCTAGCTAACTGCTGCTATTATTACCGTTTTCATGCCTCACTCCCTCACTTCCTTCAGGTCTTTGCTTATGTAATGTCACCTTTGTGAGGTGGTTTAGATGTGCAACTCTCACCATCCCTCTTCCTGCTTGATTTTCCTCCACAGCACCTACTATCCCCATATGGCGTGCTCTAACGCTTACTTATTTATCCTGTTTCTTGTCACCCCCCGTCCCCCCTAGAACGACTGTTCCTAGAGAGCAGGGTTTTTGTCTGTTCGCTGCTGTATCCCCAGTACCTAAGTTAGCGCCCCCCACACAGGGGAGCCTCCCTCCATGAAGTGCAGCTGAATCACTGGCCCTGGCCAGGCCCAAGGAGGCTAAAGCCCACGGCCCAGGCTCAGTCTCAATCCTTCTTTTTTCTTCCGGTCACCTCCTTCCCCAGGGTCACCCCAGACAGCGCCTCTGGAAACTGCTGCCCGTACCTTCGCCTCAGTGCCCACCACCAGGTCCTTGAGCTCGACGATTTTGTCGTTGATGGAGGAGCGGTAGCGTTTCTCAATCGCGTTGTGGGCTGTGCGCTTCTCGCCACGGCTCTGGGCCGAGCCCGGGGCCTTGCCGCCGGCTGCCAGCCGGTTGATGGGCAGCTTCTCGGCGTCCACTACCAGCGGCACTGTGGCCAGGATGGTTCCTCCGCTCACCAGGGTCTAAAGGGCCGGTACGGGTCACCAGCCGGGCATGCACATGCGCAGACCCCTTGACCTCCTGCCCCACCCATGCCACCGACCTGCAAGGGCCCTGTCTGTACAGCCGCGCCAGGGGCCAGGGAGCTGATACCCGCCGTCTTCACGGTGGCCGCCACGTCTGTTTTCATGGTCGTCAGAAGCAGAGAGTCCGCCTTGATGAAGTGGGGCTGCAGCAGGACCTGGGAGAGGGGGACGCCTCAGCCAAGAGCTGGGAGTCTGAACCGGGGCTAGCCACCTTCCTGACACCCGGCCAGCCCTCCTCACCGGGACCTGCTGGATCTGCGAGGTCACGGTGGTTGTTCCAGGGGCTGCTGTGGGGGTGGCCGTGGCTGTCAACAGCTGCTGGGGGGCCGCATTCTGAACCTGGGTGTACAAGGAGACGGGCGGGACCCCTGGCAGGGAAGCCAGTGGCAGGCCAGGCAGCGGCTGCGGGGTGTTCCCTGGAGGGGTCCCTGCAGAGATAAAGGCTGGGGCTGCGGGCACAGGCTGCCCTAACCCACTTTCAACCTACCTTTCAGGGCCCTATCACCCTATGGCCTTGGATGAGTCATCACCCCCCGGGGCCTATTTCCTATGGGGACAACCCATGCCTAGAGCTCGAATGCAGATGTACAGGCTTTCCTGGCGGGCGTTTGTCTTTGGAAGGACGGCGTGGATGTGGACACCCCGGCAGAGTGGGAGGCAATGCTTCACCCCAAAATAACAAGAACACAAGGACTGCTAGTACCGGGGTGTCTGAGGCACTAGAGCAGAGGCCCAATGTCTAAAGTCTGCCAATTCCTCTCCCGAGACGGCAGCAGACCTTCCTCTCTGTGCTCCTGCTGTCCCCGCCCCCCCATGCCCCGCTCCCCCCCCTTACCTGTGGAGAAGCCTCCAGTGGGGCTGGGATAGCCCAACACAGGGGCAGAGCTGAACTGCGGTGGGGCTGGGGCCGGAAAGCTCTGGGGCAAGAGGGACCCCGGCAGGGGCTGCGGGGTTGGGGGCTGCAGGATAGTCAGCGGCAATGGCTCCTCCTTGATACCAGGCCCAGGGGAGAAGGCAGGCACAGACGGGTACATCTTCAATGAGGTGGGTGCAGGCTGGGGAGGGGACAAGGGTGGAGGGGTCGCCTTGGGTCCCCCCAGGAAGCCTTCGAGTGGGGAGCTCATGGTGGCAGGAGATGGAGACAAGCTGCCCGGGGAGCTGGCATCAGGACTGGCAGGGTCTGTGCCCCCTGCCCCACCGCCAGCATAGGGTGGGTCGAACAGGCCCGGGAAGTCGCTGTCTTGGTTGTTGATGAGCTGAAGCATGTCTGGAGAAAGGAGAAGAGGCTGTGTGAGTGACAGCAGGGCAGGGGCTGGCCCCTGTACAGGGCATCATACACTCCCTGCCTCTTGTCCACACAGCTGTACGCGTGGAGCAATGATGCAGAAATAGAAAGCCACCCACATAAGCCCGTGCCCCCAGACACACAGCCATTGCTTGGGCACCTGTGACACCTGAAGCAATGCCTGGTGCTTCGTATGTATCCAACAGTCCTTGCAACAACCGGACAAGGTCACAGCCCTGCAGGGACCCGGTCCCACGAGGCCCATTCACTTGCCCCACACCTACGCTGAGGCAGAATTGGGGCTTAGGCCCAGGACTGCGGACGTCAGGGCTGCCATCACCAACCCATTCCTCTGTGGAACAGGCCGAGGCTTGGGGCTGAGCCAGCCGCTGGCCACGTGTGTGCCAACCAGTGTGTCCCTGCGTGTTCTGGGCGCAAGCCCAGACCGACCCTGCAGCCAAGCAGCCTCGAGACCAGGCCATTCAGTTTCCCCTCTATAAAAGCGAATGCTGTCTGTCCTGACTCCTTCCTCCTCGTACAGACTGGGACACACTCCCCGCCACTTGCCCCAGCCTCTGCCCCAGCTGGCGGGAGACTAGCTGCCTGGCTGTGTTGGCCCGGGGCCCTCTAACCCAGCAGGGGCAGCCACCCACTGGGTTAAAGTGCTCTGCAGGACCCACGAGCACAGCCCTGGGACCCCCGCGGGCCCCCGAGGTCCCCAGCCTGAGCTCCCGGCCCTGCTCGCCACTGTTGGCCTGGGCCAACAGCCTCCTCTCACGGGGCCTCAGTTTCCTCGTCTGTACAACAAGAAAAGATGAAGCCCTTCACGGCAGGGCTGCCCCAAGGTTTTGCGGGACAGGAAGCTGGCCCCCCCGTGGGACTCACTGTTGCCTGCCTCCTTCCTACTGACAGGTGCCCAGGCAGGGAGGGGACCTCCTTATGGGCTGCAGCAGCATGAGACGGGGGTGCCGGGCTCAGTCTCCCTGGGTCCTCCAATGGAAACACCCCATGGG